TATTATGAAAATGTTATTATAATAAAAAATTTATTTTAATGATTCTAAAATTGGAAAAAGAAAAGTAGAAGTATATGTGATAAAACACGGAGAAACGTAAAAAATAATAAGTTCTAAGGAAAAGTTAAAAAACATTTTATAATTTTTGCGTAAAAGTATCTAATCATTATGGCATATCTTCTTATAAATACTACATATATGTATATAACAATTTTTAATTTTAGTTATACGATAAATTACGAGAGAAACAACCTTTAAATTTCAAGAAATTAATTGTTGTTTCTGGTGATACCAGTCAAGAAAATTTAGGATTGTCAGCTGTCGATAGACAAATGTTAACTGAAAAAGTGACTATAATAATTCATAACGCGGCAAGCGTGAAATTTAACGACAGTTTAAAGTACGCCATTCTTACTAATACCAGATCAACGAGAGATATATGTATCTTAGCTGAAAGTATGAAGAATCTAATGGTATGTCTACACATATTGATTCTGCATTTGCATATTTATAAAAACTTTTATTATATTTCATTATGTAAATTATCTTACATAGGATTTTATGCGATATACTAACATTATCATTATACATTTATCTTCAGAAATTTTTTTTATCAGATATATATTTCAAGCTTATGTATGTTTGCGGTATTTTAAAGAGATGTTTTTTTACATAATAGCCGTATTAATTTTTTTATTAATTGTAAATCAACAACATGTCTTATTCTTTTGCTATAAACTCCATAATTATAGCATTTTGAACAAAACACAATTTTAATATGGATTGTTTTTACCTGGTAAAGGCTCTAGTATATGTTAGCACAGCATATGCACATTTGGATAATCCGTTTATAGAGGAAAAGGTGTATCCGCCTATAGACAATTGGCGGAAAATGATCAAAATGGCGGAGTCATTGGATGAGCATATCTTGAATGTTTTTACAGCTAAGTGAGTGTGGCAAACATAAATCCAATATATCATACGTAAATTTCAAATATGTGTTAATTGGAAAATGAAATTATTTTTTTTATGTTATTCTTTTTTCATTTTTTTCATATTATAATGTTATAATTATTTTTGAGTTCTTTATTTGCCATATTTATTTTAAATTATGTACAGATGCTTGAATAATATTCCCAATACATATATATACTCGAAAAATTTAGCAGAGAGTGTAATACAGGATTATTCCTTATCTTTGCCTTGCGCGATTGTGAGACCATCCATGGGTACGTAGAACTATTGTTAAATATTAGAGAATGCTACCCACACAGAAAAATGATATGTATTAGATATCTGCTAGATATCTTCAATGTCTACCAGGGATATCCACAGGATATACAGAAACAGCTATTAGACATGCTACGGATATCCAAATGTCCGCCATTCGAGATCTCATAAATATCTATAGGATATCTACATAAATATCCATTAGGTATCTATACAATATCCAGTGAATATCTATAAAAATATCCACTAGGTATCCATACAATATGCAGTAGATATTTATGAAGATATCCATTAAGCATCCATACAATATTATGTAGATATCCATTGTATGTTGGTTAAATTTTGATCACAAAATGATTAATTAAATGTTCTAAAAGTTAGGTCTTATGAGACCCGCATATGACATATCAATATGTCCCATTCACGAGACATCATTTTCTGACGTTTGTTTGACGGCAAAACTAAGATTAATTATAATAATAATAATAATAATTATAATAATATATAATAACACACATTAATGTAATATATATTATAGATAACTTTATATAAATTTAATATATAAAATTAAAAATCTTATTTGTATGGAAGTTAATTTCTATTTTATATTTTCAATAATTTAAATAAGATAATAACGAACGATTTTTGCTTATTCGGACAGAAATTGTTCAAATAAGTGAAAATCGGACATTTATCTGTCCGATTTTTTAAAAATAATTTCAATGTTTTGATTAGAATATCGTTTAGTCCGAGAGTTAAGGCTGATATCGCGATTGTGTAGTACGCAGTTAATAAAAGTATTATATATTTATTGCTAAAACCTGTATATTATTTTACATCTTAAGTAGACAGTAAATGGATAATTTTAACTTTTCGGACATTTATCCGCCCGATTTTTAAGAAAAAATCAGTCCAATATCTAAATTCCCTATGTTGGGATTGTATCAGAAATTAAACTGATAGAAAAGTAATTACATTTTTAATCTTCTGCCAGTTGCTCTTTGCAAGCTTTATATACTTCTCATGACTGAAACTTAAATACGAGATGGGGCCCATCGCGCGTCGCATAGCGGTAAATAAACGAACTAGCGGCTGAAGTATGAACTATCTTTTTGTAAAGTTTTGAAATGTTGCACGCAGTAACATTTTTCATGAAATATTAAATAAATAATAATTTTGGATATAGATAAACATGCACATTACAATTTAAGGTGTAATTTCATTGGGATGTTGATGTGCTGTGAGGAATATAATATGAATAATTACAGTTATCTCTAATTTTAATCTATAAATTAAGAATTTTCTTTGTTTAATAATAAATTGATGACATTATATATGTCATGTTATCATTATATATATCATATGGACTGTTTAAAAAATTTGGTATGAAAAAAAATTCTTTATTTTGCATTAAAGTTTTGTTAATTATATTTTAGTTTAGTAAAAAATTTTAATAAAAATTTAAATTGTATATAAATTAAAAATAGAATATATAATATTACACATTTTTAAGTATACTCTCAAAACATTAGCTGAGAATTTTAAATAATACTTAAATAAAAATTAAATTTTGTTTTATTAGAAACATACTTGTATAAATCTATCATACATCCATAACAGATGTCTAATGGACATCCATGATGGATTTATATACGACATCTATCATGGAGATAATATGGATTTCTATTAGAAATCTATACAATATCCACTGTGGAGATAGATGTCGCATGGAGTTATGGAGGTTATATGGACGTCCTATGGATGTCATGTTCCGTGTGGGTGATGGGTGATCAAAAATGTCCCATTTAAATTTGGCCAATAACTCCTTTGCAGCAGAATGAGGACGAGCATTATATACACAACAAATTATACGACAGATATACCAAATGCATAAATGTAAAGGGTGAGTACGTAGAAAAATAGTATAATGTTAAAATAATCTAATAAAATTTTTTTGTAAATCCCAAAATATTGTTTATTATTTTTTTCATGATAGGGAAACTTACTTTTGAAACGCCCCTTGTAGATATTTTATTCATTTATTAGATGTCTACTAGCTATCTATAGTAGACATGGATATAAAATAGATATGTAGATATTCACTAGATATCTATTCGATATTTTGTTCTGTATGGGCATATAATATTCCTGATCGATATTTGTAGGAAGTACATATTATTTTTCGACGTTGCCAAACGTAAATCAGTGCAACGAAAAGTGTATACGTTTCCAACTGCGAATACTACACTTTTATGTTCAAGAATACCGTATCAGAAACGTATACGTATTTTGACCATTCACATCATACGCATACGTAACATTGCGAACAAGTTATAAAATAGAGCCCCTGGTAGTGTACGTGAGCGCTCCGAGCGCATCTTTTTTGATTAATTTCTCAATAATTATTACGAAAATCGCAAAATGGTAAAGGACTTTTCTGTTCAGTTTACTATGCTCTACCCGCTCACGAGCGTTGGCACAATCTTTACCGGACACACTATATATATATATAGTGTAAAGAGAAAAACAAATAATTGTTTAAAAAAATACATTGTAAATAATTACATACTTATTCTTAAAAACAATTTTTTTTTATACTCATTGATTTGTCCCATTATTCTGAACATAAAGGTATTACGGTAAAATTATCGAAAACTAAATATTTTACGAGTAGCGTGATTAAAAAATAATAAAAATATTATATATATGGATATATAATTATTTAATGATATATATTTTATTTTATTCTCTCCTATAAAGAGAAAGTAAATTAATTTATGGACAGTTTATGCAAAACATCACGTGGTTTTCACTCAACACAAATTTATCAATGAAGTCACGTATGTGTGAATGACAGCGGGGTAAAGCGCTGGAGAGACGCAAAACGCAATTCACTATGCAAAACAGTCACACCAATGAACCGCGCGCAGCGCTATGTGCTATGCGCTATACATATGTCCCGTCGCGATTGGCTGAATCCATACACGTTAACCGTGCTTGTGACGTCAGGCCGCGATCGGCCAATGTTATAGCGTCCATTCCAGTACTCACCGTGCGTGCGTGCGCGCGCGCGCGGAGCGGAAGTATGTGTGTGTGTGTGTGTGTGTGTGTGTGTGTGTGTGTGTATTCGGTGCTCGAGGCTAAAGCATTCTTGATCACGCAATAGTGTCACGTACGACATATTAGTCGAAATTAAAGAGTTGGAAAAACCACATCTTTCTCTTTCTCTCTCTCTCTCGTCGCGTGTGCAAATTGTGTACTCGGACTCGGTCGACTCTCCGCGAACAGCTGGCGTGGCAGGGAGGGAGGGGAAAGCATGGTGGCAAGAGAAGGGAGAGGCAAATGCGTCTGATCGTGGCGCGGCACGCGCACGAGGCCAAGAGAAGAAGAGGGAGCAAGGGAAAATAGTAGATATATAGCGCGCGGATTATATCGCAGCACCGCCGCACCTGACAGTCCACGCGACTCCCGAAAAAAAAAAAAACATTCTCACTCACCACGCTACGTACATTACACGCGTGGACCGCGCCGTGTTTCACTCGGAACGCGAGCGCCATTGGCAATGTCGGGAAGTGACAGCCCAACATTCTTTCACGGCCAGCCCTGGTCCAGCTGGATCGAAAGAATCGGACGGGACAAGCCGCTGAGTAAGTGCGCTCAATCTGTCCATCTTCCAATGCCGCACCCGTACGCCCGCGGCCGTGCGGCTTGACGGCGACGGGCGTCGGAGGCGCGCCTACCCTAACCTCACTTCGACGCTCCTTTGTCAACGGCATCGGGGGGTGAGCATATATATCGACGGGCACGCCGTTTTCTCGGGTGTCGCGCCTCCCGTTGTTCACATGAAGCTACGCGCATGATTTTTCAGTATTGACAATTATGTAAATATAATTTATGAAAGCGAGCGTATATATAGACAATCTTGACAGAAAAAGAAATAAAATAAAATAAAAGACGCGACATTTTCTTCTCGCGGATTTTATGAATCCTGTATAGCAGCCGCAATTGTGCATGTATGCGAGATGTAAATAAAAAAATAAAACTTACTTACCACAAAGTTGTGTTCTTTATTTCACATTTCTATTCAAATGTTGGGTTAGAATTATTCTTAGGAAAAACGTCAAATATAATTAAATATATAATTTTACATATATATATCATATTATACACACACGTATAATAAGAAAATGTGTAACATATTATATAATTTCTTAATACATATTTTACATATAGATAATATGATAAACTAGTGTGAATAATATTTTGGATTAATATATTAAAGTATAAATCTCTCTCTACGCAACAGATTTTCTCACTTTGTAACATGATTACAATACATAAAGAAATATAATCTCTAATTTTTGTTGTGTGATAAAATATATATATTTTATATTATATTAAATATTTAAAATAAAGATCATATTGTATCTTCTGGAATATATAAAAAATTTTATATTGGCTAATATTTAATGCTATCAAAAATATATTGCGTATTTCAGGTGATGAAGAAACAGAAGTCCAAAAAGTTTTGTTTTCCAAATAGTTTTTTTCTTTCAATTCCAGAGAATTATTTACAGTGTATACCATGCATTTGTTGAATTTTTCTGTGTGATTATAATGTAATATAAAGTATTTTATATATATATATATATATGGAAAAAATTGTAAACTTGCAAAAAATAATGACTTTTCTCGACATTTTCACTGAGAAAAAATCATCTCCAAATGATTTCAAAAATCTGCTATTAGCAGGTGGTGTGGTAGGTTTGGGACACCCTATATATATATATGTCGAGAAAAGTCATTATTTTTTGCAAGTTTCCAATTTTTTCCATATATCTTTGTAACTAAGTCTTAAATTATAATTTTCTCTCTCTATTAAAATAAACTCTATCTGAAATTAACTAAAGAATGTAGTTTTAACTCTATAAAGTTTAGTTTGCAAAAAGCCCTTTTTGAATCGCTTATAACACGGAAATTATTGATGCTTTGACATTTTTGCTGAGGAAAATCATCTTAAATGATCTCATGAATCTGCTATTAGCAGGTGATGCGGTAGATCTGGAATATCCTGTATATATATAAGCAATTAATAGCAATGTAGTAAAATACAAAGTTATAAAATAAAGTTTAAAATGAAAAAAGTATATTCTCATCTATTTTTATTAAACTTTTAAAAATTAATTTAATATGAGGTCAAAAATTTCAAATAAAATGATAAAAATAACTGTTAAAGTTGTATATTATTGTTTGAAATATACGTGTATAATAATTTTATATTTGTATATAGTTAGTTGATTAAATTACACAAAAATTCTCAGCTCGCAATTCATTAGCAATTTGTATATATATTTGCAGGTATAAGAATTGTAAACACACATCTTCTATTTTGCCACAGAGTGTCGCCATCCTTCCGGCACGGCGAGTTTTCCACCTCCGAATCCGGTCGTGAAACCGTCTGTGAAAACCCCTTTCTGTAAAGTGTCTAAGCTGAAGAAGACTATCCAGCCACCAACTCCTTCATCTTCTTCGATTCCCACCGCTGGCGGCGCAAAGCTGAACCATACGATCGTCAAGCGTACTACGGATCAGGCGAATCTGTCTGCGAGTGGCTCGCTATCGATCTCCTCGTCGCCCCGATCGCCCCTCGAATCGATTCCAGTGCAAACTACTTCTCCTAACGTGGCCGGCCCCTCGAATCTCGTCGGCGTGTCAACAAATAGCGGTAGCAGTCCAGGCAAAAGCCCCGGTACCGGCAGCAGCAGCGGCGGCGGTGGCAGTGGTGGTGGTCAGCCTCGTCGGAAGAGACTCAAAACGGATCGCTCGCTGCTCAAAGATCGCGAGTATGATCCCGATCGGCACTGCGGCGTCTGGAATGAGGAAACCGGCAAGCCCTGTACTAGGTCGCTCACATGCAAGGCGCACACCGTCTCACTACGCCGAACGGTCGTTGGTCGCAGCAAGACCTTCGACAAACTTCTCGCGGAGCATCGAGCCGCGAAGGAACAGCCGAATAGCGGCAGCAATCGGCAGACGACGAAGATGACGGTGTCCGGCACTGTCACTGTATCTTCGGCCGCTACCGTCGCTGCCGCCGCCGCCGTGGCATCTAGCTTAAACACTCCCCTTACTCCCAACGCTCCAGTATCCATCGCTGAGCCGGAAGCGCCAACCTCACCGCCCGTACTATCGCTGCCAGACACATATCCACTGCCACCAAAGGTAAGCGAACATTTGCATTTTTTTCTTTCCTCACAATATTTTGTACTTAAGATTTTCTCTTATACACTTCTTTCCCCATGATTATCTCATCTCTGTAGTGTCCTCGGTGTGACTCTTCTTCATTCGCCACGCCATGTTACTATGATCAGTCTCCTCTGCGCGAACAATCTTTGCTAGGAATGAGACTGCTAGCGTAGCCGACGAAATGAAAGTTTCAATTTGATTAGTGTGGTTGAGGCGAATCTGTATATAAGTACAGTTTCTCTCTCCTGTGTTGAATATATTACTCTCAACGCATTTAGAGAAGATGTGCAGTAAAGATGGGCAATAAAAATATGTGGCTTTCTTACTTTTCTGTCAAAATTATTGTATAGCTTTTGATAAGTTTGAGACATTGTGCATGATGTTGTCTCTTATTTTGTATTATGCTTTGAAAAGAACTTTCATTTCTGTATACTCTTATGTCAGACATTGAAAAACAGATTTAAGGAAAGTAATGTAGAAATATCTTTTTTTTTTTGGAACGGGGTAAAAAAGTAGATTCATTCCATTTAAGAGATCGAGCTAACTCTAGCTTAAATTCTTCCACTTTTATGATCACTTTTATTTTGAGATATATTTGATGAGCTAAAATTTTAAGTGATTTGCACTGTGAATTGTATAGGGAAGCTTCTGATTTTTTAGATATCACTTTTAATCACTTTTCTATTTTTTTACATCCAATTTGAAATTTTAAAATACAGAAGATGAGATATGATAAACATTACATATATTTTATTTTATTCAATTTTAGATATACATGTATATATATGTATACACCTTTTTTTTTTTGTGGAGAGGATAATGTTTTGCTACGATATTAGAAAGTATCATAAGTTGCTTAATAACTGGCAAAAATAAAGCAGATTTATTGTCAGTATATTAAAACCATTTTCTGAAAAACTAAATAAAAATAAACTTTTATACAAAAGATAATAAACATATTTGTATCGCGTTACATTAAGTTTATGTTTTGATTTCAATGAGTTTTAATATTTGTTTATTATTGCGAAGTTGATGATGTATGAGAGGCGGAAACTTTCTGTGAATTCAATTTTAGATTGTTTCAATATAATTTGAAGTTAGATTGGATTAAAAAGTTTTTGGATGCCCCTTTCTCATTCACGTATTCACTTTTTATAAGTATTTAATGATAATTTCGGTAAATGTTCAGATTAACTTACACCTCACGAATCGTTTTCATTTTCACATATATTATACAGGGCACATTCCTAAGTAATAAGCACTTTGAATTTTGTGGCGCTCTCTTCTGGTTCCAGAGATATAAGAAAAAATAAAGTTTGTTTTGATTGTATTTTTGTAAATCAGATGTGGAAAAAGTGTTTGTTTACATTTCGGGAACGAAGCTCCTTGAATTTTTCCATTTTCCACGCGAAGCGAAGTTCAACGCAAACCTATATGTCTAGTTTTTTAATAGTGAAGCCCCCCCGCAGGGGGGGGGCGGAACATACCGTCTCCACGCATATACTTTTTAATGTGTAAATATAAAGTGGAAAGTTGTAAACACCCCTGTGAAACCTTACTTCGCATTAAAAAGTATATGCATGGAGACAATATGTTCCGCCCCCCCCCCTGCGGATACTTAGGAATGTGCCCTCTATAATATATGTAAAAATGAAAATGATCCGTGAGGTGTAAGTTAATCTGAACATTTACCATAATTTTTTTTTGTCGAAGTTTCTGCACAGAAAACATATTTTTTATTTAAGTGTTTATAATTTAAATATATAAACAATGAACATGACGGCTAAACTCCATTGAAAGTTACTAAGGGCTTTGACTATATGACTATGTTAATATAAAAATCTTTGGGAGTGGATCCTATAAACAAAGATTAATAAATAAAAAAAAAAGATTTAAAATGGTGATCTCATGTCAGTGACCAAAAGCGTCCCTCATGCGGCTTAAAGTATATCACTTAGGATTTTGCAAAATATATCTCATTGTCAGATAAAAAAATGATTATGAGAGAAATGTTATCTTTTAACTATTTTTTCAAGAATTCTAGAAATTTTAATGATTATCAAGAAATCAGAATTAAGAGAAGGTATGTCCGAAAGTGAATAATATATCAGAAGAATATCGTATTTCTACGTACTTTCTATAGGAATGAATCCAATATATCTGATCATTTTCTTAAACTTGCATTATACGACTTTGATATTGTGTTTTCAATTTTATATTTTACAGATTATTTTTAATATTTATATAAATTTATTTGACAATAAGTACGAGCGCGCGCATATTCTCTTAGATAAAAGCATATTTTTAGACTTTAGCGATAATAAATAATACATAACATATTTTTCTGTTAAATTATATTAAAAATTATATCACAAACGTTTTAATTATAAAGCTTAGTTTTTTAAAATAAATAATAACAGAAAATCAAAACCGTTTTAAAAGGTAAATTAAAATATAATATTTCTAATTTTGTTTTTGATATCTCACTTCGTTTCCGAGAAATATGCCCGCGTCACTATAAATGCCGCACCCTGTATATATAAATCTCTTCAATACTTTCGCTGATCAAAAGATAATCATCATCAATCTTGGTAAATTTATTTAGATATGAGAAATATTTTGTATTTAGAGAATTAGAGAGTAGAAACAAAAGTGATAAAAATAAATTGTTTGATTCTGCTAACAAACACGGATTGATCGACCCAATCGAGTCAGCGTCGAGACGCAACTGAGCTACCTCGCGTTAAAGGCAAAGACAGAGGGTGTCGGTTGATACTTGTTTTCTGTTTTTGTTATTACAGGCTGTTGATTTGCTTTATCGGTGTCTGGCCCCGCATGGCTCCACTAAACCTGTAAGGCATGGTTTCTTTTGGGCATTTAAACGCCACCTTCTATGGGATCTACGATTCTTACTCTACGAGTCGCCAATCCTTCTCTTTTTTAGACCAAACTCGAAGAAGACTTCGCCAACGAGGAGCTGCGGAGTCTAAAGTCCACATTGGTGGTCAACTCTACCATCGCAACCGACAACAGCAACAGCAGTGGCGGCGGTGGTGGCGGCGGTGGCGGCAGTAGCGGCGACAGCGCGTCGCAGCAACAATCGGGCTCGATGATGGGACCGATATCTGTGATGCTGCCGTCGCTGTCCCCGTTATCGGGTGCAAACAATGAAGAATCGCCAGGAGTGACCACTCTGATACCGAGCACCACGACGCCTGCTGCGATACCGGTCATATCGATGCCACTGCCAACTACTTGCGTGCAACCGCCTACGGTAATCGCAACAGTGCTTGAGGGTGAGACACCGGTGGACATCGATGCCGAGACCATGTCTATGTATTCCCCCATTTATACTGCGACCAAGGACGCCAAATCGCAGCTAGTAATGCAGATACAATCGCGGCCGAATAGTCATTCATCGCAGTCGCCTGTCTCGGTCAGGAACTATCAGCAGATACAGGCTTCTATGCCAAGCCTGAACTTGTTTGAGCCGGTGGAGCAGCTGGAGCAACAGCATGCAAGCCAGATCAACGGCAAGAGATTGAATCATGCGAACCCGATGTCATCACGACAGCAAAAAAGGCACGGCAAATCGCACCACGAGCAGTTGTGCCAATCATTGCAAGACTACTCGACATCTGCATCAATCCAGGTCGAGGCGACGACTACATCGTCGCCATATCCGCATTTCGGCGACATTTCCTGGTCGAACTGTCATCCGGAACCATTGGCGGTCAGCCGGTGGCTTCGTATCTCGTCCAGCCGTAAACAGTACAATTTCAATATTCACTGACACAAGACCCCACCCACCCCGGGCTGAGGACTATGTGCCGCGGGCGTCGTTTGTCTACCTCCTTTCCTTCGCGACACCATCTTCTCTTTTTTCATCGCCCACGTCGTCGTCGTCGTCGTCATCCTAGTCGTTGCTGCCACAGTCGATGTCGCGTCCACAGTCTATCAAAAGGGAAGGGGAGGGGGGTGGGGGAGAAAAGGGCTCATGTTTTTGTCATTCATCGCTATAGATGTGAGTATTTTGCGCAATTGAACGCAAAAAATCTGTCCGCGATGCCTTGGATAATGCTCCCGCACGAGTCTCTAATACGCGATGTAATCTTCCGCTTTCGTGCGCGATATCGCACGATCGAAATTTTCAGCATCAGATCACGAGTATGACAAACGCTGTAGAATATCGAAAAAGAATTTCCAATCGATGGCCCATGATGATCACGTATCTAAACGTATATCTGAACTTTTATGAAACTTCACTAAAAGAACAAACGGGTGTTGATGTATGTATTCCATTCTCGTTTACTCGCTGAATTTTTAATTTAAGATAGAGAAAAAGAGATAAAAACACAAGAACGTGTATCTTGAATGAATGATTAACAATATCGCAATATCGCGTAAAATTTCTGCACAGAATTCTCTACACAATGTACTGTATGATGTGTTTATTTGTTATATGGTTTATAATGTCGCAGAACATTCTCTATACTCTAACAGTCTATCCTCTTTTCAGTTATGTGCGTTACGACTATCTCGCAATGATCTGAGAGGATTGCGATTACTTTATTAAATGATTTCTAAATGCTCTTCAAGATGTAAGAGTAAGAGAGAGATATAAGAGTTTGCATTTTGTATCGGGAATATTTCGGTGAGATATAAATCAAGCGACGTTGCGATTTAAATGTTAAATCTTCTTGCCAAAAACAATCGATGATGATCATGATGATAGCATTCATTTTAGATTTTATTCAAGTAGTTGAAGTTGGAATTATCAAGCCACGATATCAGAAATTATTTTTATTATTCTGGTCATGATATTGATTTTTTTTTCAAGTCTCGAAATTATTTAAGAATTTCTCTTTGGTGTATCATGATTTATTAAATATCCTTTATTTTTACATCTTGAAATCTAATTACAACGTATTTTTTCCTAGCAAATTATTTAATATGTCGCTGAAATTTTTTTATTTAATTAGAAATTAATGATTGCATATATCATTTTATTGATCGATAAAATTATGAGCATGCAGTTATTTTTCGTGGTATAAAATACCATTATACGTTGTGCATTTTTTAGCAAATTGTGCAGGAATTTTGTAAATAGATCGCAAATTATTCTTGTCTTATATTGTATATAGGAAGATGTTTAGCGTCGGCTAAACACACACACACACACATACACAGTTTCTGCATAGATAAAAAGAATGTACACTCGCGCGCGCAAGCATATATATATATATATATATATGTGTGTGTGTGTGTACATATATTTTATCGATCGCGATTTTTTATCTCTCTTGCATATAAGCGTACTCTGCGAACATGAGAGGAGCCATTATTTAACGTTATACAGGGTGTCCCAGATATGTATAAAAAAAAACCTGGAGGAGTGAACTCGGTATGCTAAAATAAGACACTTTTTTAAATGTATTTTGCACTTTGGTCAAATCTCAAAGATAGCGCTTCCCCAAATCAAAATTTAATAAAAATGGGTTCCCAAGTTGCAAGGTGATGTCATTTCACATCATCTCGCTACTTGGGGTATTGCTGTTTTTATCAAATTTAGCTATTAAAGGCATAAAAGTTATTATTCACACGATAAAAACTACGTTTTGGAACGTAATTCTTAATTTGAATAATGATTTTTATGCCTTTCATACCTGAATTTGGTAAAAATGACAAAACCCTATTTTTATTAAATTTTAATTTATGAGGAGGCGCTATTCTTGACATTTGACCGAAGTGCCAAATAGAAAAGTTTCTTATATTGGCGTGCTGAATTGACCTGTTCAGTTTGGACATACAGATCTGGGACATCTTATATATACACACATCCTTGTTTTTTTAAATCATTTTTTGCCATAAGGTTATAATAAGAAAATTGTAGCTCCGAGTGATTTCTTTTTTAATTTGATTTTATTCTGCATTATTGAGTTTCATGACAAGATGAAATCAATTCGCGATAAATATTATAATTAGGAACAAATCGAGCGATATCTTTTTTCTCTTGAATGAATTGCGAATATACAAATTGAGGAGGCGAATGGATAAAAATTTAAAGTTCTATCGATATTAAATACATTGATATATACAATAATATCACAAATAATGATTTCTATAATCTGAAGCAATAACATTTATTTGTCACAAATGATAATTTATTTTTAAACGAATCTTCGTAAAAAAATTTACTTCGTTTGTTTGCCCTTTCACAGATAGCGAGTTTGCGTTCACTTATGGATACGAATTTATCTGGTAAAAGTCCGCACAAATGTGTATAGTGCGGAAAGTTGCGCGACGCAATCGATTAGCGTACTCTCTCTCTCTCTAATTGATAAAACATTGATAATATTACGGATCGTAACAAAATTTAATTAATATAACTCTACGGGGTCGCCAACTACTTGAATTAAATATTACATTGCTCAAAAAGTCGATATCATTTTCCTCATGTAGAACTAGATACTTTAATATTTTAGAACAAGAATTATAATATTATTCAATTATACTATAACTATATTGCTTCATGCATAGCATATTTTAATGAATCAATAGATATAAATTGTTTAAATACAGTATAATAGAAATGCAATACAAATTATTAAAAATTTTCCAAATTTTTTTTCGCTATTCTACAAAAATCTCATCTTTGTGACGTACATAAATTTTGTTTGATTTTTACTCTGTTCACGTAAACAGCTGATCGAATAAATCGTAAGCCATTGTACATTTGTTTGTGGACTTGGACAGATTAGTGAGCTATACGATCCCGTTGTATTTTTACCTAAGATAATTATTTATTTTTGTTCTCGTTATAATTTTCATCCTTGCGCACTGCAGTTTTCTGCCCAGTAAACACAAAGTAACAGTAACATAACATCAAACACACACACACACACACACACACATACACAGTTTCTGCATAGATAAAAAGAATTTTACTTTATTTCCTCTTATAAGATGAATGGTGTGCAGATTGTACAAATAGTCTACACACGTACACACGTACGCGCGCGCGCACACACACACACACACACACACACACATACATATATATATATGCAGTTTTCTGCCCAGTAAACACAAAGTAACAGTAACATAACATCAATGTTATAACTTCCCACTCAACAATATAACTGTTACATACAAGGAATATTACATTGCATTTACATTGTTGAGTGGAAAATTATAACATTGTAACATAACATTGATGTTATGTTAATGTTACTTTGTGTTTGCTAGGTGACGACGGGTAAAATGCGCGCAAAGTTATCCAGACCACATGTCCCTAAAAAACGACTTAAAAATGTTCTAGCATCCTTTAGACATTCTTAAGAAGTTTTTTGGCTTTCTTGTGCTGTCTGAGTAATCAATAATGCGGCAGTACGCAGGATAAGCGTACATCTTATCATAGATTGTGATATTTGATTTTATTAATGATTAGTAGGGTAATTGTACATGCGCGCGTGTCTGTATATTGTGTTCGACGGCAGAAACTTAGCGCGTTCTGTTTTTTATCCTTTTTTTTTGCCGTAAGTGGCGCTTTTCTCGTGCTGTCTTCGTCGTTGTCTTCTCGCTTTGTTGTTTAAAGAAGAAAAAAAATACTAATCGCGTTGTTTTTTAGTGGCGCGCTTTCGTTAATAAATAGAGTCCTTTAGCTTAATGGATCTAAACGAAAAATTTAGGAAATGATAAAGATTAGGCCAATTTGTGCGATTATTTGTAGCACGAGGAAAAAGAGGATTATTATATGTTTGTGTGCGCGCGTTAAGTTATATAAAAAAATGGTGAATTCAATATACCGCACAGTATAAAGCGATGCTTCATATCATCGCCACTGATCCTCTCGGCTACCTGAAACCGTGATAACTTGTACATAAATCGTGTAAGCAATTAATTATCCACGTACCTATGGATATCAATTAGCCGCATAGTTGTATAAGAACGATATATACATATATATAACATATGTATACATATATGTATATCTATGCAAACGCGTTAAAAAAAGAAAGGGAGAAATGGGGGAGGAGATCTCTATTGAAACTCGCAGAATTATAACTTCGATTGCTCTAATAAGCATCTCGCCTACGTAATCCCGTGCGTATAAGTATGCGAATATTCCGCATATATATAATGTCGCATTTGATAAAGCCATATTAAATATGGTTCTCTCGATCCCTTAGCTTCATATATACGATACGAAAATCGCGTCAACGATGAAAATTGCGCAACAATGTTTAATACTGTTTTCTTTATTCACAACTTTATTTTCTCTAAGTTAATGCGAGATGACGAATAGACAGCTTTATTTCGCCCGAAGTGCATGATAAACGCTATATTTATGCGCAAACAATCGGTTTCCCGTTTCCCTGAAAACACTCCTGTACCACATTTAGTGTTCATTGCTCGGCGCAAGATGATTGTACCGATAAACCTCGAGCGATCTCGAGAAATGATGCGACATCGATAACGAGCGCCGTTATAAAGAATCCGCTTTTCTCGATTAAAAGTTGACTCGACCAATCAAAGCCATAGATTTTTTTACATCTTTATCCACAAATATCCCGAGAGCAATAATATAGTACGGTCCACGATTAAGCGAGGTGGTAGCAATAATCATTTCATTAACTGTAAGACACTAAGGGCCAATTTCACCAAGCTCGGTTAGATTAACCGACGGTTAAAATTAGCAGGGTTCCAACGGAAATGATAAGAATGCTTGGTTTTCCTTCACCTCTATTTTCTGTTGGCCACCCTGCTAATTTTAACCGTCGGTTAATCTAATCGAGCTTGGTGAAATTGGCCCTTAGTGTCTTACAGTTAATGAAATGATTATTGCTACCACCTCGCTTAATCGTGGACCGTACTATATTATTGCTCTCGGGATATTTGTGGATAAAGATGTAAAAAAATCTATGGCTTTGATTGGTCGAGTCAACTTTTAATCGAGAAAAGCGGATTCTTTATAACGGCGCTCGTTATCGATGTCGCATCATTTCTCGAGATCGCTCGAGGTTTATCGGTACAATCATCTTGCGCCGAGCAATGAACACTAAATGTGGTACAGGAGTGTTTTCAAGGGCCAATTTCACCAAGTCCGGTTAGATTAACCGACGGTTAAAATTAGCAGGGTTCCAACTGAAATGATAAGAATGCTTGGTTTTCCTTCACCTCTATTTTCTGTTGGCCACCCTGCTAATTTTAACCGTCGGTTAATCTAACCGGACTTAGTGAAATTGGCCCTAAGAAGGCGCATTTTCCGGTGGCTTTCACGCTCTTGTCATCGCCGATAAAGCACAGAGAGAATGTTGATCGTGGTGCTGCAATTTTTTAAAACCGATTTTGTAAAAAAAAAGTCAATTCGAAAGAGATTCATAGAAATTTTTATTTTGCGAGATTAGAAACTTCCGAACCTTGAAAGAATTAAGAGTTGTAGAAATTTTTAAATTCTTCTCATATATTTTGTATTTCGTTATTAAAATATATCCGCGCACATATTTTTTAATCAGAATTAAAATACTACAACTTTCTACTTTATATACAGGGTGTCTCATATAAAGTATTACAAGATGTTTTCTCCGAAACTTGACATAGTACAAAAGAACATTTCAGAAAAAATTTATACAGGTTTTTAAAAGAGAAAAAAGTTGATAATATATCTTAACTAAGTTTATGTGAAAGTCAACCTAATTTTTTTAACCATCGTTTAATGTTTGGAGAGAACCATTCTAATTTTTTTTTATACAAGTCGATTCCTCGCAATATTTGGCGTAAAAATAACCTTTATAAGGATAGGATTGCCAAAAATTG